TATTTAAAATAGAATTTGCATAAATTTTTCGAAAAAATCAATTGTTTTAAAATTAGGAAATAAAATTTTTTACATTAATTCAATTATTTTCAAAAGTAATAAAATTCAATTATTTTTAAACATTTTAATAAAATGCATGACAAAATTATATATGAAAATATTATATATTTTCATATATAAATAATTCTTCGAAAGAATTCAATTATTAGAGATAAATAACAAAATTATTTCTGAAAATTCAATTTATTTTGAAGCATTTTAATAAATTCTTTTACAAAATTCAATTATTTTTATAAATTAACAATATTCATCACAAGAATTCAATTATTTGTAATAGAAATAATTTTTTTCTTGGAAATTCAATTATTTTCAAAAATTCTAATAAAATCTTTCTCAAGAATTCAAAATTATTTTCATAATTAATAAAATTGCTTTTTAGAAAAATTCTATTTGTAATGTAAGGAAAAAATTCTAAAAATAATTATATTAAAAAATATTTTTTAATTTATGTGTAATTATAAAAACAGTATAAAGAGGAACAATTTTTTTTTAAACAAGAGTCAAAAATATTTTTTATTTTACACGAGTAATAATAAAAATTGTTTCTTCACTGTTTTTATTATTTCACGTAAATTAAAAAATATTTTTAATGTTGAAAAAGTATTTTTTCAGTAAAATGTTAAATTAAAAGAACTTCCATCATTTCATTTAAATATATTTTAATTAACAAGAGAAGAGATAGATGGAAGAGAATGAGAAATTCCATTTGTAATCAGATTATTATCAAATTAGTGAAATTTCAATGAACATAATGGAAATATGTATAAATATCTATTATTTCGCATGTTTTTTTTTTGTTTAAAGTAAAAATTTAAATATAAAAAAAATGATGTATAGTTTGTTATCAAATTACATTTTAGTGAAGAGTTTTCCAATTTCATGGCATAGCTTCTTGTATTTTGCGATTTTCTGCAGTTTCGCATCGCGCTCGTCGACAGGCAGGAAATAATCATTTCCGCGTTGTCGCAGACTGCGTTCGAAACTCGATCTTCGTCTCAGGTCAAATTTATCCCTCCCCGCCACACTCTCTCTCACTTCCTTACTTTTTTTTCACCCCCGTCGCCCGCAATGCGAAACACGCAAAAAAAAAAGAAAAAAAGAAAAGTGAAATGAACCGCGGTGTCGACAAATCGAATTTTTTCATTTTTTAAAAGTTTTTTTTTTCTCTCATCCTTAAGGAAGCGTAGACTTGCGAGGAAACAAGATGTTGTGGCATTCAAGATTAGATAATATTTTTTTTTTCTTATGAAAACACGCTCCTGAAAAAATATTTGCTTATTTATAATGAAACGAACTTTCATTTAGGTCTTGATGGGGAAAAATGAAATTTTTTCGTTGGCGAAAAAAGAAGGAGGAATTTTTATATTAGCAATTTTTTTTTCTCTATAATTTCTTCGTGATATTATATTTTAATTTTGTTATTTTAAGAAATTTAATTTAGTTTTGTTGAGAGAAATTATTATAATAAGAAAATTTAGTCTTTTTAAATCAACTTAAAATCTATTTTTTAATTATAAAATTTAGTTTTTATGGGGAGAATTTAATTTTAGAAATTTTTATTAATAAAAGAATTGAATCAAAAAACTAAAATCACAAAAAAATTTAATAAAAATTTAAATAAAAATTGTATATAAAAAAATTGTATAAAAGACTTCGCACTCGATAATTAATTTTAAAAAAGTAGCAAAAAGTAGCTTTCAAACTAAAAAAAAGTTGTAAAAAATATTCGAAAAAAAGCTTCGAAAAATTCAACTTGACGACCAAAAAAATTCGTTTTAGACACTTTACAAAACTAACAAAAATTCCATTCTATATTTTATTTTCCAGACTTTTTCCTAATTTTCATCAAAAGTATTTTCTTCTTTCTTATCCTGCACTAATAAATTGAATTCCTGCAAACGAATTTTAGTATTCTTGAAAGAATTTAAATATTAATAAAAATAATTTAATTCTTGCGAAGAATTTCATAAAAAATTTTAAGTAATTTATTTCTTTCGACTAATTTTATGCAAATTCTAATTTAAATAATTAAATTCCTGAGAAATTTTTATTATTCATAAAAATAATTGAATTCTTTAGAATTTTTACAAAGTTTTTTTTAAATAATTGAATTTTGTTTGGAAATTTGATGAAAATAGTAAATATGGAAAATCATTGAATTGCGAAAAGTTTTAAAAAATAATTAAATTTCACAAAGAATTCCATGAAATTTTTTTTTAAATAATTGAATGTCTGTGTGGCATTTTATTAAAATTTTTTAAAAATAATTGAATTCCTAAAAAGTTACTTATTATTTTTGTATATAATTGAATTCTTGAGAACGATTTTATTAGAATTTTTTAAAATAATTGAATTTCCAAGAAAAAATTTATCATATTTATAAATAATTGAATTCTTGTGATGAATATCGTTATTTATGAAAATAATTGAGTTTTGCAAAAAAAATTTATTAAAATACAAAAAATGTTTTAAATAATAAATTGAATTCTGTTCGGAAAATTTATGAAAATAGTAGATATGAAAATAATTGAATTGCGAAAAGTTTTTAAAAATAATTAAATTTTACAAAGAATTCTATGAAAATTCTTGAGAATAATTGAATGTCTGCGTAACATTTTAATAAATTTTTGTGAAAATAATTGAATAGTTGCAAAGAATTTTAATAAAAGTTTCAAAAATAATTGAATTTTGCAAAAAAATTTATTAAAATGCCTCAAAATAATTGAATTTTCAGAAATAATTTTGTTATTTATCTTTAATAATTGAATTCTTTCGGAGAATTATTTATATGAAAATAATTAAATTCTTAGTAAAAATTTTATTAAAACCTAAAAGAATAATTGAATTATTTCAAAAAAATTGATTTAAAATTGTATTTAAAATGATTGATTTTTTTTTATTAATTTTATTAAAATATTGAAAATAATTAAATTGAATGTCTGTGTGTCATTTAATTCAATTTTTTTGAAAATAATTGAATAGTTACAAAGAATTTTAATAAAATTTTCAAAAATAATTGAATTCTTGCTAACGATTTTATTAGAATTTTTTAAAATAATTCAATTTCCAAGATGAAATTTATTACTTTTAAAAATAATTAAATTTTTGTTATAATATAATAATTGAATTTTCGGGAATAATTTTGTTATTTATTGAAATAATGGAATTCTTTCGAACAATTATTTATGTAAATAATTGAATTTTTTTAAAGAAAAAATTCTTCATAAGAATTTTATAAACATTGTTTTAAATAATTAATTTTTGCGAAATTTTATGAAAATACTAGATATTGAATATAATTGAATTTAGAATATTTTTTGAAAATAATTGAATCGTTTTAAAGAATTTGATTATAATTTTTGAGAATAGTTTTTTGATTTCTAGTATTAGCGAATTTAAATTAGTGTAAATTCTCAAAAAAACAGAAATAGTAGCTTTTAGTGGCTAAAATCTCAAAAAAGTACCCAAATAGTAGCATAACTTAAAAAAAGTAGTAAATAGTAGGTTTTAGTAAATGACTGCAAAGCAAGCGTATAAATTTACTGAGTAAATTGCCATTTGGAGTAAACTAATAAATTAATTTGCCTTCTTTTGGTGCGAATTTAAAGTCCCAGGGCCCGTAAGGCCGTGCGGTGAGCGCTCGCTCAGCCGAACCGTTCATTCGATTTAAAATCCCTCTCCACAAAATTCTATTAAACAAAAATAATTTTTCCCAATTCTATTCAAATCAGATTTCTATTTTTGATCATTCCCACATAAACATTTTCAAAAATTCTCTATTTTTATTTGTTTTTTTTCCTTATTCTTAATTATTTACATTAATTTTCTTTGAAAAATCTTTTCTTTTTACAGTCGGGATTTTAGAATTTTTTTTTGCATTTTTTTTCTGGGGATACAAAAGAGATTTTATCCCTTTACTTTCAGTGAAGGCGTGGAACGATAAAATCAAATACGAATCGACAATCGAAACAGCGCGTACTTTATCGCTTTCAGGACAAATTTATTGATGCAAAACGACCTCGCAGATATCTACATTAAACAGTACAAAAAAGAGAAATAAATGGACTGAACCACACGTAGGCATGCGACAAGTACCAGCTAATGAATCGATTCAAGGCCAATGAGCAATGAGTTGCCAAAATTTATCGGCCCGTTTGTGCTCATTCAGGAGATATATAGTTATATATATAAATATAAACACAAAATAAACCGAATTGACTCCACAAAATGTGATTTAAAATTCCCTCCAATTAATGACATTTTCCAATAAATGTTTTAATTTGACCATTAAATACAATAATTATCATTCGTTTATCTTTATTTATTCGTAGAATGCTAATTTTTTGAGTAGAGAAAAAAAATTAGCAATTACAAAATATTAAGAAAATAACATTTTTTACATTCAATAAAATTAATTTTTAAAAATAAAAAATTTCAAAATAAAAAATTGAGAAGATATTTTTGATATTTAAAAAAAAATTCTACTATTTTTTGGTAGTTTTCTAAAATTTTTTTAGATTTCGAGTTCAAAATTTTTTTTTTCTGTCAAATTACGTGAATAAATGTGAAAAAACGATCAGTTCATTTTTTTGACAATTGAATACGACGTGGTCTATTGGTAACGGTATTAGGCTCTTAACTCTTCGTTTGGGGTTCGAGTCCTGACTCTTAATTTTTTTTTCTTTTTTTATACTTTTCTAAAATTGACTTATAGTTTTTATAATTATAACAGAATAACAATAACACGAATAACAATAACAATAACAATAACAATAACAATAACAATAACAATAACAATAACAATAACAATAACAATAACAATAACAATAACAATAACAATAACAATAACAATAACAATAACAATAACAATAACAATAACAATAACAATAACAATAACAATAACAATAACAATAACAATAACAATAACAATAACAATAACAATGACAATGACAATGACAATGACAATGACAATGACAATGACAATGACAATGACAATGACAATGACAATGACAATGACAATGACAATGTCAATGACAATGACAATGACAATGACAATGACAATGACAATGACAATGACAATGACAATGACAATGACAATGACAATGACAATGACAATAACAAGTATAACAAGTATAACAAGTATAACAAGAATAACAAGAATAACAAGAATAACAAGAATAACAAGAATAACAAGAATAACAAGAATAACAAGAATAACAAGAATAACAAGAATAACAAGAATAACAAGGAATAACAAGTATAACAAGAATAACAAGAATAACAAGAATAACAAGAATAACAAGAATAACAAGAATAACAAGAATAACAAGAATAACAAGAATAACAAGAATAACAAGAATAACAAGAATAACAAGAATAACAAGAATAACAAGAATAACAAGAATAACAAGAATAACAACAATAACAAGAATAACAACAATAACAACAATAATAATAATAGTAATACCACAGAAGATAATTATTCTTATTATAAGTAATATAAATAAACAAATACATTTACATAAAAAAATTGAATAAATAATTAATATTTAAATGAATAAATAATACATGAGTAAAAAAGTACAATAAAAACTGCATTAAATAATTGATAACAATAGAAATTTGTATAAAACGTTAATAATATTAATCCAAGTCGAGAAAACAGATTAAATTTAACTTGGAGGTTTTGCTGAAAATCAATATAGACTTGAAGTGGCTTGTTATAAGTTATAAGTAGCGAGTAGTCTTTTGTAGGATAAAGTCTTAGATAACAACATCAATTATTTCTGGAAGCCCCTTCTTTACCCCCCCCCTCTCCCTCTCCCCCTACCATTACCACCCACCCATTTCGTCTACTCCCCATCACTGACTAGCCACTCGTCAGCAAAATATCTTATCTCGCGAAGTTAATCTATTTCGGATTAGAAGGATCGCGACTCCAAACGAAGAGACACAATTGTAAATCCACGGCTAATTTGAATGTGCGACTTTTCCGTCAGAGATGAAAATCAAAAAGTTAATCGTATAATTTAAAAACTTTAATTGAATATTTTAATTAATTTCAGGCAAATAAAAAAAACATGGGGTAAAAATTAAATTTTTTTTTTGTTTTTACATGTTTAGAGGAAAAAATAAATTCTTTTTCTTTATTAAGATATTTAAATACTTTATTATTAAAAAAATTGTTTGACGTTTATTTTTAAAAAATTTTATTTAATTAAAAAATAAATTAAAAAAATTATTTACTGAATTTTTTTTAAATAAATTTAATATTAAGTGGAAAATTTATTTTTATTATGAAATTACTTTGAAAAATGAAAAAAAAACGATATATATATGAAATGTGTCAATTAAATGTTGCGTTGGTCCAGTGGTCACGGTGTTTGGCTGTTAACTATACAATTAGAGTTCGAATCCTAGTCTCTTAAATTTTATTATTTTCTTTTTTTCTACTTTTTTAAAATTGTATTACCTTTTTTGTATAATAATAATATTAATAATAACAATAATAATAATAATAATTATTATTATAATAATAGTAAACATTTTACTAAGAATATTAATTATAATAATAATTGTAATAATAATAAATAATAATAATTTTGTTATTTATTCTGTTCAATCTTATACGAATTTTCCAATATTTGCATTTTTTTAATAACATCTTTTAGAACTGAAACTTGAAAAGTTTTTTTTAATAATAAACACTACTTTTTAAATTATTTATTTACAATTATTTTTATATTTGAACTAAAAAGTATTTAGTTATCAGTAAATTGAAAAATATAAAGGTATTATTAGAAAAAAAAATTCTAGTGAAAAAAACGTGGTTCAAAAAAATACAAATCCTAGGAATTGAACCCTGGACATTCTATCAGTAGTCAAGTGCCTTAACCACTCGACTAGTTTTAACGCCAATTTGAAAATTCCATCTATTTTCATTTGATATCTTGTTGCCATGAATTTTAACATTTTTATATTCTCATTTTTACTTATTTTTCTATATTCATTTTGAAATTTTCTTTTATTACGTAATTATTACCGTACATAAAATAATAAATAATAATAAGAATAATAATAATAATAATAATAATAATAATAATAATAATTCTACGAATACTTTTTAAAAATTATTTTCATATTCTATTATTAATTAAAATTTAAACTAAAATTAATTTTCAAATCAATTTTTATAAAAAAATTCAACCAGAATTCAATTATTTAAATACAAAAGTAAATTATTTATTGAATAATTAAATGTTTCTTAAAATTTAATTCTTATAAAGAATTTTATTAACAAATTTTTAAATAATTAAATTGTTTTGACGAATTTTAAGAAAATTTTTTAGAAAAATTACATTTTTCAAGGAATTTGATGAAAATTGTATTAAAAATTTAATTGAAATTGAGGGATGAGTTTTATTATTTCTAAAAATAATTGAATTATTGAGAAAAAACTTATAAAAAATTTGTTAATATTTGAATTACTGTGGAATTGTTGAAAATAATTCAAATTTTGACAAAAATTTTATTAAAATTTTTGGAAATATAAATTAAATTTTGAAGAAGAATTTTTTTTATTTATAAGGATAATAATTGTTATTTTGTCGAGATTTTTTTGTAAATTTTGAACATAATTGAAATCCTGCGATGAATTTGATTACTTTTGAAAATAATTGAATTTCTGCAATTTGAAACTTCTTTAAAATTCAATTCTTTTAGTGTTTTTTTAACTAAAATTCTTTTGTAAATCCATTATTTTTAATAATTAATTTAAATTTAAATAATTTTAGAAGATTTTGAGTTATTAAAATTTTTCAAAAATCTAAGTTCATTAAAATTTCTAATTAAGGTCATTCAACATTGAAATATTATAAAATTTTAAATTGAAACCATTTGAAGTTTATTTATTTATGAAAATTGTAAACGCAACTCTTTTAAAATTGAATTAATTTTGAAATATTTAAGTAAAATTATTCATTAAAATAATTTATTTATTTTATGATAAATTCCCGACTTTTTTTCTGAATTCCGCATGCCAGAATATATGATTTTTATAATTATAATAATATTAAAACTATATAGTCCAATTCATAATTTATTTTTATAAAAAAATTTTAATTAAAAATTTTTACGTTTTATTATTTTTATTGTTATTTTTAAAATTGCTAATTTTATTTTAAAAAAAGTGAGTGAGAAGTCAGCCGTTCGCTAATTGTTGCTAGTATTTTATTAATTCAGAATTTTTTTTCTCTTAATCTACCTTCGTTTTGATAATTATTTAAATCTATAAAAAAATGTATAATTGCAATAAAAAATAAGAAAAAAAATTTTTTAAAGCAAATAAATCTCCCTGGTTTCGAACCCAAAACTATAAATTGACAATCCACCATCGTATCCACCTGACCAAACACAAAAACATATTTTTTCGACACTTTTCCGCTTTTTCCAATAAGAAATAGTTCGGGGTTAGTGGAGATAAGTCCAACTAATTGTTACTATCAGCAAAAAAAAATGTCGAGACGCGATAGTGAGTTTCAAGAAGAGAGGTGAGAGTGATGAGGGTAAGTAAAATTTTCAACAAAACAGCGTTTTTATTTTTACGAATAAGCTTTTAAATTTTTCTTTTTCAAGAAAATAGTGGGGGTGAGGGAGTAAATTTATCAATAAATAACGTTATATATTTATTTAAACATCGCTTAAATTTTTTTTCCAAGAGAATAGTGAGCGGGAAGAAAGGGGAAGGGGGGGGGTAAACTTATCAATAAATACAGTTACGTAAATACTCTTCTGTTTACGTAAATATTTCATTTCTAAAAACCAATTTCCACCGAAAAATATAAGCAATTTCATCTAAGTGCTTAAACTTGTATATATATAACTGTATATTCGAAAAAGTTTCTGACATAGTTTAATATCAGGTCAAAATTACTCGACTCGATCGTATTTACCCCTCACACTGTTAAAAAAATATAGCTAGTTTTCGAGGCGAGAAATGAAACACTATCTTAAAGTGCTTCAAAAAAAAAATTTTTTTTTTACTCTCTTTTCATTGGGTTTTAAGTGGAATAAGAGAGGGGATAGTGTGAGAGGTTGAAGGGAGGGGGGGACCTGTAGGATAGAGCCTATTGACATGGTGGAGGGGAGGGGGATGTAGTTTGAAAGAGGGAGGGGGGAGAATGTGGAGCCTAGTGCCCTGGTGGAGGGGGTAAAAAAAGAAGGAGGAAAGGGTTGAAGAGAGAAGGGGAGGGGGAAAGAGAAGAACGAGTGGTGGAAGGATTTTGAACTTCCTGAAAAGTTTTTGCGGAAAAAGCAACGTTCGCAAAAAAGTTTCACGTAAACGGTAAAGTTCTTGTGAGAGCGTGCTCGTTTTAAAAAGTTTCTTTTTCCTCAGGTATATATAACGGCATAAATCAAAACTTCTTGCGTAAGACGATAACTGATAAGCCGTCGCCAGAGGTCGGGATGAAGCTCGCGCGGGATATCAAGAACGATGAGATCGGTATAGAAGCAAAAAAAAAAACAGAAAAATTTTTTTCTTGTGCCTCAAATTAACAAATCTTTGATATTTTACTTTAAAAATATTTCCTTTTAGTGTAGTGTCGAAATAAAAAAAAAATTTAACCCTTCCCCTATGTCCGCTTTCTCTCACCAACAACAAACTACTAAGTTACCCAAAATAGTTTTAATTATTAATTTTGAAATTTCAAAACAAGAAAATAGAAAATTTGGGACAACCTGGAAACTCAATTTAAATTTTGTGAATTTAAAACAATTTCAAAAGAAATTCATAATTAAACTTTTTCAAAAATGTTAATTTTAGAAAATTTTCAATAAGTATGAAAATTTCGAATTTTCAAATATTTTAATTTAAAAGCTTCTCAAAATTCAATTATTTCTAAAAATTCACGCTATATTGCTTTTAATATTCAATTATTATCTAAAATTAATAATAAAATTCATTTTTAAATCAATTTTTATTAGAAAATGCTACGAGAATTCAATTATTTAAATACAAAAATAAAATTGAGTATAACTGAATATTATTCATATAATTAATTGAATTCTTCTGAACAATTTTATTAGAATTTTTTTAAATTATTGAATTTCCTATCAAAAATTTATTACTTTTCAAAATAATTGAATATTCTTCTCATGAATATTGTTCTTTATGAAAATAATTTAATTTTGCAAAGAATTTTATTAAAATGCCTCAAAATAATTGAATTTTCGGAAATAATTTTGTTCTCTATCTTTAATAATCGAATTCTTTCGAAGAATTATTAAATAAATAAATAAAATAAATAATAAAAAATAAATAAATAATTCTTTGTAAATAATTTAAATAATAAAGAGTGGGGATAGTATATATTCTTTTATAATTGTAAATAATAATTTTAATAATATTTTTTAATAATTTTTTTTTAATATTTTTTTTTTTTAATAATTTAATTTTTTTTCTTGGTAAATAATTGAATTCTTAGGAAGAATTTTATTA